GGGGGGGGGGGAGACAAAGAGAGAGAAGAAACCATGAGAGAAAGATCCTGTACAGAAACAGAGAGAGGGAGGGGACAGAATAATGGAGGAACGGAGAGAAGGAGGGGCGAATAGAAGAAAAGAGAGGAGCTCAAAAAAAGGGAAGGGACAGCAAAATAAATAAAAAAATCATACACAGAACATGAAAGGAAAAAGAAAAAGTAGTAGAAAGGAATGAAAAAGAAAGAATGAGGCATGTGTCAAGGTGAGAAAAGAAAAAGAGGTCGCTGAAGTTGTGTGGTGTTGAACTGTGTATTGTAAAGTACGCATTTGATCTTTAACTCAAACCAGATAAGTTCATTTAATTCAAACTGATTACAATGAAGTCAGTTTTACTAGTTTTAAGTAAGTAAGTTTACTAGTTTTAGGTAAAACTAACTAAATTTAAAAATAAACAATCTTGGCCAAGTAGCTTTAGTAGTTTTGTGACACAATTAATTTTGTAGTTTTTATTTGTACTGCGAAAACAAAATACTTAGTAAAAAGTACTTAACCAGAACTGTAACTTAAGAAACTAAGTTAGTGTCACTAAAAGCTGCTTAATCAAGAATCTTTTTAACTCAAAAAAATTAGTTTCTGTTACTTAAAATGTTCATGTAATCCGTTTGAACATTTCTTTTTGTTAAAATAACTAAAGGTCCACTGATCACTGTGAAAAGACAATACTTTATCACATCTATTACACGTCTCATTACTTATTTAATGAGAGAAGAAGCCAGTTTTTTCTTTGCTTTTACATTCAGTCTCTAAAGTGTGAACTATAAAAGCTGAACATGTCCCTGCACTACATTTACAACCAGTGTGCAAAGCAGTGGGGTTTGGTCAATAACATCAGATCGATTTTCTTGCTGATTTTTATATTAGAAAAAGACTCCTCACTCACTTGAAACAGTCTTTTGTGTTACTCTGAATGTAGAGTAGACAGTTGTATAATATCCTCTGCGGCTCTGCAGGGAGCTTAAGCCTGAGAAAATAACTCAAGTTACTACAGTCAACTCGCTGCTGTGGAGTTTGTATTAAAGCTACTTAAAGGATGCTATCAAGTTGCATTATGGAAGGTGTAGTATACAGTATCTTTGAAGCTTTATTGAAGGGACTATGTCTATACTGTAGTGTAATGTTGAAGCACTGAATGCTCTTTAAAAATACCTGTTGTGTGTGTGTGTGTGTGTGTGTGTGTGTGTGTCCCTGTTGGTTTGGTTCCCACCGGTGCTCATTTGGCACACTTTCTGCATTGCTGCACCTTCCCGTGGTCTCTTTCACAGCTGCCACATTACCAAACACACCTCAGTTTTTACTCAAGTCTGGGTATTTTTATAAAAACCATGAAGCCTAAACCGTGTGTTAGCACTCGTTCAGCTTCAGGAAGTATTCACACAACCTGGACAGGACTTCTTGCTGGCTGCTGAGCACTTTGACAACTACGTTTGCAGGCGCTGTTCGGCTTCAGTCATGATGATGGTGATGATGATGGTGATGATGATGGTGATGATGACTAGCGGATCACATCATAACTGTGGTCTGTGCTTATGGGCTCAGCTTTCATGACTCCTCCTTCATAAGGACAGCTGCTGCTGGCTGTCATTCACCTGTGAGCCTGTGTGTGTGTGTGAGTGTGAGCCTGTGTGTGTGTGTGAGTGTGTGTGTGTTTGGGTAAGAGAGAGGAAAAGGAAAAAGAGATGGAGAGAGGGAGGAGAAGAAAGAGAGGAAATAGATAAGTGTGTGATATAGGAAGATAGACTTTTGAGAGAAAGAAAGAACATAGATAGATAGATAGATAGATAGATAGATAGATAGATTGGTGTAAGAAAGACAATGGGAGGGGGAAAGAAATGAAAAAGAGAGAGAGATGAGAGAGGGAGAGATAAAGTGGTGGGGCGGGGAGGGGGGCGGTCGGCACGCAGTGATTGGAAAATATCGAAGACGCGCACGCGCTAATCCGATGATAAGTCTCCGTTACCGGGGGGAGGGAGGGGTCTTTTTAAAAAAAGAAAAAGGAGTAGGACCAGGGCGGGAGCATCTTGCGCTCGCGCGCCGCGTCCCTTCCTCTCGAGCCTTTTGTGTTTGAAACTCTCATATCTCACATATCAATAATTCAAGCGCGCGCGAGAGAGAGCAGACGGAGCTCCCCCCCGCGCGCTATGAGTTCTGCTGCCTCGTCACTCGTCCAGGGCCCCTCCGCACCGCGCGCGACTCCCGCTTATTGTGCTTCCAAGTGACACGAGAAGCTGCCGAGAAGTGAGAAAAGAAGAAAAAGAACAGGTGAGAAGTGGCCACTCGACGGGAGATAACGAGGGTAATTAACTGATTTTTGAAGAAAGGAGAGAAGCCGAAAAATAAACCGTCTGGTTTTCCCCTCCGCGAGGGAGAAACTGTTTGCTGTAGGCTAATTAAATCCAAGAAAACGGAGTGGCATCTAGTTGTAAAAGAAACCTTCTGCAGGTTCACCGGGGGAACAACGGGAAACTCTTGCTACCTTACTTTTTTAAAGGGGAATAGACCCACAAAGACGACCGAGAAGTTCATCGTTCTGGTCCGGTATGTTGGCGTTTTGCCTGCTGAGTGCCGTGTGGCTCGCGGCGAGCCCGGCCCGCGCTCAGAACGAGACGGAACCAATCGTCCTTGAGGGGAAGTGCCTAGTGGTGTGCGACTCCAACCCGACCTCGGACCCCACGGGCACGGCGCTCGGGATCTCGGTGCGCTCGGGCAGCGCCAAGGTGGCGTTCTCCGCAGTCCGGAACACCAACCATGAGCCCTCCGAGATGAGCAACCGGACCATGGTCATCTACTTCGACCGGGTAGGAGAACAAAAAATAAATCTATTCTATCTATTATTATTTTGTTAAATAGCAGTAGTAACAAAAAAGAGAGAAATAAATAAAGTTTCTAATTGTTTTTAGTCAGTCTTGTCAGTTTTA